GATAAGGCTGAGGCACAGAGAGGTTAAGTAATTGGACCTTAAGGGACGTCAAACGAGGAAAGTGTTGAAATCAGGGAATGAAATCTCAGAATTAGGACCTTCCGATGCATCTGGGGATCAGAAAAGCTTTGAAAATGTAGCCCTTGAAAAACATAAAAGGCTCATACCTTCTTTTAATGTTATTTGAAATTTTAATATAGCCTAAGAAAAACTAAAGCAATAGTTGTTTTTAGAATATACTTTTGGGAACACCGGGCTCTTCTCCTAATACCTGGCATCCTGCCCACCTTGGAGATTCCTGCACAGTCCCGTAGAATAACTTAGCCAGGTTATTCAGTAACATCTTAAGGTTGTGTTGACACCAGAAACACACACAGGGATGTAGAAACCCCTACGCCCCCCAGGAAAAGGGAGGCACATGCTGGCATGTATGGAGTGCCTTCCGGGGGCCTGGCCCTGGGCTGAGTTCTTCCCAAGGCTTAGCTCCTAGTCCTCACCCACCTATGCAAGATGCTATTATTTCCCTGTTGACATGTGGGGAAACTGAGGCACAGAGAGCTTTTTTTTTTTTTCTTTTTTTTTTTTAAATAACTTGCTCAAACTTCCACAGCTAGTTAGTAGCAAAAGAGAGATTTGACCCAAGGCACTGGTTCTAGAAATTGCACTCTTAATCATCTCACAAAGCTGCTGTTCAATCATAGACCCGGTATATGCCACCCATCAGGTGAGGCTCCCGTGGCCAGAACTGTGCCAGATGGTTGAGGACCTATAAGGGGCGTAGGGTGGGCTCCATCCTGAAGGACACAGAACCAGTTTAGGGTGAGAAGTCGCCTTCCACAAACCCACATTGAACAATGGTGAGATCCGCCCTTGTGCTGTGTTAAGGCATGAAAATGGAGGGGCTGCTTGTCCCGGCTGTTAGTCAGGTGGAGCGAGCACAGGCACCTAGCGTTATTTTTATTTTATAAAAAAAAAAAACAGAACCTCTGGTCTCAGTCCCTGTGCAGGTGAGTAGCAAGCTGTCTGAGAAATAGCTTCCCTTCCACCCTAGAACCCTTCAC